CCCCCCCCCCACTTCGACACCATAAAGCCCAGGAATTTGCCCGAACCAACCTCAAAAGCATATTTTTCGGGGTTGAGTTTCATGTTATATTTCCTCAAATCTCGAACGTATCCTGCAAATGAGCCAAATGGTCCTCTGCGCGCAGGAACTTAACTAGCATGATAAAAACAACTCTGAAGAACAATAGGTAAAATAGCAAGAGAATAATGTGCGTATATTTTCTTATCAGTGAACAGTGTTCTACAAATTAATGGGAACCCCATTTATATAGTAGGGGAATCCTAAATAAGGTACATTTCTAATTACAGTAGAAAATCATATTTGACAGTTGTCTAACAGCCGAAAACCAATCCATTCTGAAATTTATGCCGTGATCTCTGACCCATCACGGGTATCTCGCTCTTTCCGTTATTGAATCATAACAGTATCATCTCGAATCATGCCTTATTCTGACCTCGGTAAATGATACCGACCTCGACATTAAAAAGGAGCTTCGACCTCGAGCTCGACGTCCTGACCTCCCGACGTGGTATCACTTTTCCCCCGAAGAACGAAATCAGGTATATTTAAGAAGTGAAATTCAAAGTTCTTTATAAATAGGAGCATTAGTTTTATATTAAGGATATTTGAAAGCCATGTGTAGTTACCTAGTAACGTAATGGCTAGGGTAGCAATTAAGCGCCGGATAATAATTACACACCCTGGTAATTGCACAATATAGTAATTATAATGACATATTTGTTTGTCACAACCTAGTTACAGTATAATTTCCACTGCCATATTTGATTGGACAAATATAATTACATAGTCAAATAAAAAAATTACATATGAATAAATTTTACTATATGACAAATGTATATGTAAATAATAAATATAAAAAATTAATTAACTAATAGGTATTTTAAATAAATATTATCCCATCAAATACATTATATAATTATAAATTAGTAAATAATATCATAAAAATAATCTATATCTTAAAAATAAATAATATTATTACTTAATTTAACTAATAAAAAATGTTAATAACGAATTTAATTTTTTCATCAATTCATGTGAACATAAGAAAGTTAGATATGAGCTTAAAAAGTATTTTTTATAATAAATATTAATACTAATAATTAAAAATACTAGTAAAAGAAAATTTTAAAAATTATATTAGCGTGTATAATATTAAATTGTGTAATTACATTTACTTTGCAAACATGCTCTAAGTAGGAAGGAGTTTAGCACGTGACCAAAGGAGCACTCGGGAATTAAAGCTAGTCGGAGTTGGGCGGTTTTGACCGCAAAATGGAACATAACAGCCTCGTACAGTCGGGGGGAGCAAGGTGACGCAAAACCGCCGCGCACCACCGCCCGCTGCGACAACTATGGCGGAAGACGACGATGACAGCTTCGGCGATTTCACCTTCGCATCTACCAATTACCTCAACACCCAGTTCACCCCACCACCCAAATCAATCAACCCCTCTGCTGAAGACGATGAATGGGGTGATTTCGTCGAACACCCTAGCGGATCTGAACCTTCCACAGCATCCTCCCTCACCCAATCCAAACCCTTCGACCCTTTTGGTAATAGTCGTTCCGTTTCTGAATCTGGGTGGGTAAAACCTTGTGGTGCTCTTCCGCTTTCATTATTCGGCGAAGCAGAAGAAGAAGATGATGACGTGGGTAAAGAGAAACAAAATCCTGCTGAAGCGAATACCAACACTAAAGTAAGAAATAACGGTTCTAATTCCAATTTGGGTTATGGATTTGATTCAGTTATTTCAAACTTATACAACCAAGATCACAACTTGAAATCACAAAATAGGTCACTTTCAAATTCCAATAAATTGGTAGGTTTGAATAGTGTTAAGTCGAATTCCAAAGATTCCGTTTTCCAGTTGAATGGGTTGGGTTTCGATCCCAATTCGGGTTCTCCTTGTGTTAGTAGAGTGCAGAGCTTGAACTACCTGGCTAGCTTGAATGAAGAGGTTCAACAGATCAATACAGGAAGTACAAATGTATCAAATTCAAATTTTTCTATGTTGAATCCGGACTTTGATTTGTCCAAGTCTAATCAGAATGGATTGGACAGAACTTTGAGTGTAGATGCTGTAACAAGCTTGAATGATCAGTATCTGCAGATCAAGACCAAAAGCACTGGGTTTGATTTCGAGTCGAATGCATTGAGTTCTTCAGCAAATTTCACAAGTTCTAGTTTTGGTGTGTGGACTCCGGTTTTCCATGTGTCTAAATCCAATCAGAATGGTTTGAATAGAACTTTGAGTCTGGATGGTCTCACAAATTTGAACGATCATCAGAGTCAGCAGATTAAGACTGAAAGTGGGGGGCTCGTTCCCAATTCAAATGGTTATAGTTCTTCTGTAAATGCACCACGTTCAACTTTAAGTGGATGGGACTTCGATTTTGGCGGATTTGGATCCGATGCTGGGAGGTCGATTTCTGCAGCTAGTCCGGATATTAGTGGGTTGAATTCAAACTTCAATGCTGTTGGCTCAAGTGAAAATTTGAATAATGCTCACAACAACAATGATGTCAACGATGATGATGATGATGATGATGATGGATGGGAGTTCAAGGATGCTTACTCAATGTCAACAATCAAAGATGGTAACAATAAGGTAAAGCCTGACATTTTTACCATCGATAATAGTTATGTTGTGCACTAGTGGAAAAACCTTCTCTGCACTGTTTTAAACTCATATTTTTTGAGTAAGGTAGTAATATTATAAATCATTAGCACAAAGGGAGTGCTTATAGTAGTAAAACCATTACAGACAGAGAGCAAAAGTAGTCTTGTAGTAGATCAATATAACGACACTAGGTTGTCTAAAATAGAAAATACATCATCTAAGAAGCCTTATTTACACCAAAAGTGAAATAAAATTATATAATTTATCTTAATCTTATATTCAGTGCTGATAGTGCCTTCGAAACACTGTTTTAAACTCATATTATGAACATGTAATATTGTAGTCATCCGCATCAATTTTGACGGTAGGGCAAGAATTCCAGGCGGTTTTGTTTACTTTTCAGGTTTCCCATCCTTCAATTTCTGGGTGGCAAGATGTAACTTTTGGTGGTCATTGCAGTTTCAGAACTGCTTGCTATGTATTTCACATTGTTCTAGTGGTATTTTTGGGTAATTTATTTTGTCCATTCACATGTTCATGCAATTTTATTATTTTGGTTACTTTTATTTATTTATTAACACTAAGTCTTGGGTTCTTTTTTTTTTGTTAGAAGTTTTATCAGGGAAAGTGAACTCCTAATTTACTCTGAATGGCAAATTATTCAATATTGGGATGAAATGTGCCTGAATTTAGTAGAATGAACATAGAGGATTCATATAATGACTCCAGCTAATTTAAGATTGAGGAATAGTTGATTGATTTCTTGACTGGTTACATTTTTGTACTTATTTGCTAGTTTGTACGCATGAAGGTGTTTATGGTTACTAATCTTGTTCTTTTTGTGTGAAGGCTACCTCAGAGGCGAAAGAATTGCAGCAAACTAATGCATCCTCTTTCGATTTTCATAATGGCTTGAATGGCTCAGTCGATTTGTTTGCAACATCTAATGGATCGGTAACAGCTGATTCTGAGGCACATCACGCTGGTGACTGGCAGGCATATTCCTATGGATTTGGCAATAGTCTAAATGGTTCAATCGATTTATTCGCCACGCCAAATGAACCAATTGATCTATTTGCAACATGTAATGGAATTTCTTCTGTTCACCCTGACAATATACTTGGATTTGATATTGAACCATCTATTGCATCTAAAAACGTTTACATTCCAGCATCAGATGGTAGAGGTGAACAAAAGGAGAGTAATGGTTCACTGGACCTTCATCCAATTGTTGGGAGTGCTGAAACCGATGAGGATTTTGGGGACTTTACGACGGCATTTTCAGATTCTGGATTGAAACCTGAGGTAATTTTATTTTGATATTTTTGTTATTGTATACCAATATTGGAGTTTTTCCCCTTATAGGCCATTCTTCTTTTTATCTTTTTGCGCAGGAAGAACGGAAGGTTAATGATGTTACTCATTATGAACTCCAAGCTTCTGAATCTGATGATAAAGACCAGGTCAATTGTTGACTTAATGGCACTCCTTTTGGTTAAGAAATTTCTATTTTTTTTTTTGCTGGGGAAAAGATTAATTGCTTCTTCCTCTTTTTTCTCCTTTTATTTTCATATATTTTGTAAGGTTCAGTCAGCAATCTGGACTTTGTTGAAGATAGTCTGTGTTTAGTATTTACTCGTTTCTTTTGGCTCTACTCCCATGTTTTTCTTTTTTGTTTGCTAAACATATTTGGACTTTGTTAAAGATAACTGTTCGTTCAGCATTTAGTTTATTCCATTTGCATCCTTTTCTCATTTTTTTCTTTTCAACCTAGCTTAACATTTGAACTTTGCTACAGTTTGTTCCTTCTACGTAGCATTTTGGTCGTGGTGAATGCTTTCTCCCTATCAATACATGGTATTTCTGTTTTACGTTAAATGTATAAGCAAGGTGCTAAAAGTTTGATATGAAGTTCCAATCTTCGTCACTTTGTCTTTTTCATTCCTACAACCATGGCGCCTGCATGTTTCTCTTGCAAAATTCTTCTTCCCTTGATCCATCTACGCTTGATTCTGCAGAGTATGAATAATAATTCTCTAAGTTTACTCTTGGCATGATTTGGGATGTGCGTGTGTATAATGGTTGGACTGTTCTTCTCTTTCTTTATAGAAATTTTTTTGTAGGTTTTTGGTCTGTTTTTATAGGTAGGAACATTTAATTAAATGAAATACATGTAAAGTAACTACTATATTCAGCCTCTTTATTCTCTTAAATTGCCACGTTAGAGTTGAGAACTGCATCATCTACCAATATTGGTAGAGCTTTTCTTTTTTACATTTTGAACTTAGGTAAGTATAGTGTTTGGGCAACTTATTTCCAACCCTTCCTTACCTAATCTTGATTATTATCCAGGTGAAGGAGTCAAAGTTAGAGAATCATAAAGGGGCTCTTCCCCTATCAATATTTGGTGATGAAGAGCAGGAGATTGATGGTTCATCTAATATTGAAGATATTTTTGTCCCCCATAATGCTTCTTACTCGAAGAATGATAGAAGTCCAGATTCAAATATTTCCATTAATGATCTCATTTCAAATTTATATAGCCAAGCTGAACAAATCTCACCTAGTCACTCTGTTCAAGTGCCAAATAGCATTAGTGACAATCCACAAGATTCAGTCTCAAATTCAAATCTGGTGAATGGTGAGGATGACTTGGATGATGGTGAATGGGAGTTTAAGGAGGGCTCTTCTCCAATGAGAACGGATAACGATACTTCTCTTCTTACTTCTGAGGATCCACCAAAGAAAAGCTTTTCCAAACTCAATCTGGATAATTATTTGGATTTGTACTCTAAATTAAGGAAGGAGTTGTGCTGTCATGCTAAACGCCATCTCGATGAGCTTAAGGTCTGTGTGTTGCTAAATATATTTTGAATTGTCGTCAGTAGTTCCACATACAGAGAACCAGCTGAATTTATGTACTGGTGCATTGACTTGTTTATATTATATTCTTCCAGAGAGCTCAAAGCATTGATGGACTTCCAGTAGAGGAAGCAAAAATTTCAACTCTTAATAAGGAAATTGAGGTTTGTGCTCTTTTATCTATGTCATATATTACTGAATATTATGGACATTTGTTAATGAACAATATCCTCTTTTCTCTTCCCCTTCCAATTTGTGAGATTGCCAAGTTTTGTAGTGTAGAAGTCCTGCTACCGTTACCCGAGGATCTAACTAGGTTTTGGGAAAATGTAGAACATGTTACTATGTCATGGAACTTCATATTTATAAAAGGAGGAAGTCTCCATAGATGAAACCTTGAATTTGTATGCAATGCACACTGTATTTCTGAGATTTAATGGAAACTTCTTGTGGAACTGACATATACAACCCCTACTGGGTGGGTGCACTTGCTTGGGTTCATACCTAATCATACTATTAGTAGTTGCCTTCCATTTAGCGTAGCTGAGACTACCTTTTTCTGACAACTGTGAACTGTCACGTTGATTGTTCATGCTGCTTAAATCTCATTGCCTTATTCTGGCGTGCTTCTAATATAATAGAGCCTATTATTCCATTTTGGGAAGCGGACATTTGTTTAGCATGGGCCAAAGTGAAAACATGACATCCAATTTGAAATAAAGAGCGTTTGGTCTCCAAACTTCTGTCCCTCTTTGAGTTCTTTTCTTCATTCTGTGCTTTATCGAGATCCACACTTTTGTCCTCAAGGAGTTGAAAACAGGTGCTTCTCAATTAGGTCTGCTAGACCTGGTAATAAGAATCTTCTAAAAATAGGTGCTGCTCAATTCGGGGAACTCAAGGATAGGAGCTGGCTGCTCAGAGCTGTTCGGTTTCCAATAAATTATTTTAGGTTAAGGTCCTTGGGGAATCGTTTTCACCACCATCTCATGTTTTCATATGCCTCCTTGATTCACTAGGTTTCAGTGGCTCTCTGTTTCTAATAGTTTTGAGACCCAAATAAAAAACTATTAATCAGGTGTGAATTTGCCCTTTTTCTTTTATTTCCTCAATATGATGTGCAAAAAGTTGTTTCTCAATGCTTGATGTTATGTTTAATATATTTCATTTTATAGGAGGCTTGCAAGGATATTGACCTGGATAATGCTATGTGCAAGGATGGCCATTTGGAAGAACATTTACCTCAAAATGCTTGTATGAGTGCATTTATTGAGATTTTGCAGGAACCAGAATTTCAAATACTTGAATCAGACTACCACTTATCAAGGAGACTATCATTGGTATGTCATTTTCTCCATTTCCTAATGCTTAGGAAATTTTTAAACTGCTAATTTACTCCCTCCGATCCACAATAAGTGACCAATTTGCTTTTCTATTTTGGTCCAAAATAAGTGTCCATTTATATAATCAAGACAAAATTCAATTTGTTTTTGCAAAATTACCATTATGTACATATCCCTAAAAAAGTTTTCTTACTCCTCACATTAACTATTTAGTTAAGGGTAATTTAGTCATACTAGGTATTTTTGTATAGAATTTAGTATTTTCTTAATGGGCGTGCCAAAAGAAAATTGGTCACTTATTGTGGACTGGAGGGAGTAATTCCTAATTTACTTATCAATTAAGTAATTATGATGTTACTTACTAATAGAGTATTAAAAAAATTTCCATTTTAAAAAAAGAATCTTTAAGTTTTCTGAATATATCCAGCAAGTTTCTGAACTACATGGTATCCAGATTTGTAATTCTATTGAACTAGACTTCTTGATTTTTGAACCGAGATATCACAAACTTGGCTAACAATTTAATCAAAGTTGGGTAAGTCCCTTTTGTTGTCGTCGGACAAAAAATAAGAGTTGTTTTGAGCTTGGGCATTTCATTGTAACAACGCGCAGCTTGACGCCCAGGCCTAATCAAGGCAATAATGTTAATGTACGGCTTTTTTTGGTTTGAATTTCAAACCAATACTGAATATTTTCTAACAAATCCACTCATCAAAGAAAAAATGTTTCGTATAAAATCCTATGTACTTAGTCATCCTTTTTGATATTGTGCTTGTATATTCATTTGTTATCATGAAACACAAGAAAGAAAGAAGAAATAAGCTTTGATTTGCTATACTTACATGTTATTTTCTGGTAATTAGGTGGAGAATGATTTGGAAACAACAGCGGATCTTGTAAGACATGCTACAATGATGCTAAAGATTTTGAGATCAGGATCTTTGGAGGAGCAATCAATTTATGTTTCAGTATGGTATAAAATGATCTCTGTTTGTGCCCAAGAGTTGCAACATGGCTCCTGTATATGGAAGAAGATATTGGAAATGAATGCTCAGAGTCATATATTATCTCTCCCCAGAGGTACGTTATCTGTATCTTATTGGTGCATGGCCCACAAAAATGGCTTAATGAAAAGTTTGTTGGCCCATAATAGGGAATTCCATGAAATTGTTTTGTAGGAAAGATTTGATTTCGTTGTTCCAGTATCTCATTTAATATGATAAATGCAGGAAGGGAATTCATCCGGGCCCTGGGTGAGATCTACCGGGTAACTTTAGTGCTTGAAGCATCTGTGAAACTTTGCAAACCTTGGATTTGGTTGAATTCTGCTCAGTGTACAAGTATTCATTCTGTGCTAGATGAATGTCACACTATGTGGTCCTCTTTGGGTCTTGGAGAAGCTGTGTCGAGTATGTTAGACTCTGCTTCTTCTGGAGATGGGAGATCTGTTGCTTCATTGCTGGACTCTATCAAGTTAATTCGTAGTCTTGATGCAGTTACCCTTCAAAAACATCTCTATGCTCAGAAAGAGGTGTGTAGGCTGTCGCTTCTAACTTTGGAAGTATTACCAGGTATATTAATTCTAAAAGATCATGATTTTCAGAGTGAATAATTACTGTACTTCTTACCGTTCTTGTGACAAAGCCATTGTTAGTAGCAGGAGCCACAGAGTCATGACAATGTGAATGTTCCTATTGTTGGAGATACATAACCAGATATTGAAACTTAATAAAGAAATGTTAAAAAAAAATTAGGTGTAGTCCTAGGCTGAAACTTGTGCAATAACTTTGTTCTTAATTGTTCTTTTGTTACTATGATTGGTGTGGTAGAATAAGAATATAGTAAAACTCATTGAACTGCTCGGTTCTGTCCTTCGGAATCAACCTTCACACATTGTGTATTATTCTCGCAAGTCTGCTAATTTCACTTTAAATTCTTTTACCCTTGCAATGAATCAGGGATGAAACTTATCGACTGGAATGGAGAGCATTACTTCCTCACACTTGCAAATCTGTGGGCAAATCTTATAAGCAGTGACCCTCCGGAGTTGCCACATTTAACTATTGGATGGTGAGAAAATATCTAAGGTTGGTATCAAATTTGTGAAGTGTCAAATCTGAGATGAGGTACTTGGATTAGCACCATGTCAACTGGAGATTGCTCTGCAGAGGCTGCAGTGAGGAATGTAGACTGCTTATTCTCCAGGGCTCTGGCCTTTGACTTAATTGGAAGAGTTTTGTGCGCACAAAAGTATGCTCTCGGACAAAAAAAAGGCAGCTCTGAACATGGAGAATACTGAGAGGAATGTGCAGAAGCACAGCTTGTGGATCCTTTACAAACAGAGTAGAAAGATGCATTGTGACACGAATTACATCGATTTTGGTTTTGGCATTCTTTTCTCGCAAGATATGTTGTAAGCATAGTATCAATAGGTCATTATTCCGATTTTTTCCCTTTTTCCTCAATTGGGGAAAGGGAGGAGGTGTGTGACCTTAGTCACAATTGCACCATTAAGTTGCATGTGTATAAGTTGTATGTATTTGGTGAAATCTTATGTTACATCCATAAAGATAAAAGTAGGATTGTAACTTGTAAGACAGAACACAGATTTCGATTCTTTTGCAGTGCCTGTTTGCATAATTTCTGATCTGCAGTGGTGAATTCCGAGGTGTAAAATGTCAAATTAGAATGCATTTGTATTTGTTTGCTCTTTAAGTGAAGATATAAATTAGGTTTGAATCTCCATTTGAGGGGTAGGTCAAGGTGTGAACATCTTTTACCTCGCCCTTTATTCAGTTCTTGGATTTTGCCGAAAGTCAAAAATTTCGCCTCATTAGTGGTGCTAAATGTTCTATGCTCTTGCAAAAAATTTGTTGAAATATAACTCAAAGTAACAATATGGAACAAGGAAATAAAAGCGATTTAGTAAAACATGAACAAGAAATGGAGATAGGGAGAAGAAAGAGATTTTCTTCTTTAATTGTGTGTATTTTTCTGTCTATTACAAGACCTTTATATATGCATGAAAAGTGAAGAAAATATGTCATGAAATAGGTCATTGAACATAGAAAATATGTCATTGAATATGTCATTAAACATTTGAGACGAAGATCATGGAGGAAGAGTAGACATCCACCATAATATGATATTTATCATAATACTCCCCCTTGGATGTCCATAGATAATGTGCCTCGTTAAAACCTTACTAAAAAAACCCTGTGGGAAAAAAATCCTAATGAAGGAAAAAGAGTACACATGTTTAGAAATACGCATTTTAGTTGCCTCGTTAAAAACCTTGCAAGGAAAACCCAGTGGGACAAAACCTTGTAAGGGAAAAAGAGTATAACGCGTATTAACTCCCCTTGATGAGAGCATCAATTCACATCCTTGATCATTCACATCCTAATCTTGTACACTAGTTTCTTGAAGGTTGACGTCAGTAGAGATTTGGTGAACAAATCAGCCATATTATCACTTGAACGAATCTGTTGCACATTGATATCGCCATTCTTTTGAAGATCATGAAAAATAACTTTGGTGAAATGTGCTTTGTCCTAGCTCCTTTTATGAATCCTCCCTTCAATTTGGGCTATGCATGCTATATTATCTTCATACAAAATTGTGGGTAGTTTGTAACACTTCAAATCATATTTGTCTCGAATAATATATATTATAGACCTCAACCATATACATTCTCGACTTTCTTCATGAATAACAATTATCTTAGTATGATTAGATAAAGTAGCCACGATTGATTGCTTAGTCGATCGCCAAGATATGACAGTGCCTCCGTATGTAAACATATAACATGTTTGAGATCAAGCCTTGTGTGTGTCAGATAAATACCCCGCATCAGTATAACCAACAAGACCGGGATTGCAATCATTGCCATAAAATAAGCTCACATCGGTAGTCCCTTTTAGATAACGCAATATATGTTTGATTTCATTCCAATGTCTCCTTGTAGGAGCAAAGCTATATCTTGCTAAGACATTAACTGAAAAAGTTATGTCACGCCTTGTAGTGTTAGTATTGCTCCCAAACGCACACGCAAGTATACGTGGTCGATAAGTAATATAATGATAACTTGAGTGTCGAACCCACAGAGACTTGTGTAAACTACTCACTAAATCGCTAAAATTGTTATTCAATCCAGCTAAAATTAAAGTCCAATAATATGATTATATTATACTACAATTCTAACTAATAACTAAATTATCAAGTAACGAGTTGATTGTTGTGTATTTAGTAGAGACAAATATTCCAGGGTTGTGATCGATTCACCATTCGTATTGTGTTCTAATTAACTCTGCCTTTCATATAATTCACTCATGGTTGCTAATTAATCGATAAATGCTCTCATAGCCTTCTCCCGAAGTACTACTCACCTATTCTCAATAGATTAACGCCTATATTCCCATGAATCAATCTATTAAGAACGCATTAAAATCACGATATTTAATTAATCACGGTGACTAGGTATATTCCTATCCTAACCACAAATCCGCTCCCCCTAAGGGTTAAGATCATGCTCTCTTCAATTCTTCTTTAATCTAAACACGGCTTTCCCAAGCATAGCATAAATAGTAAATAGAACCTAATTGTTGGCCAGACAATTAAGCAATTAAACCAGAATTGAAGAAACAACCATATATTGGCAAATTATAATCAAGGTCAAGTCAACGTTAAACAACAATATTCATGGCTAAATCACAACCCCAGAACAATGGATGTTTAGCCACTCATGATGAAATCAAACAATTGCATAAATTTTGAATAATTGAAAATACTAGAAAATATGAAGAAATCTGAGATGTTCTTATGTGTATTTTTGCTCCAAATTGCGTCTCTCCAGGCTAAGCTCCGTCAAAAGTCCTCAAAATAACGTTTTTATATGTATTTATACCAAGTAGGGTTGGGTCCAGATGAAAACACCTTCTTCCGCGCGAAATAAGATTCTGGCTCTGTGAAATTCGTACAGTCGCACCGCACCATGCGGCACGCTAATGGAAATTATCAGCAGCCTCAACTTTTCGCATCAGGCAGCATTTTACAATGTTGCGCCGCATCCTACGGCGTCCTATGCGGCGCAGTAATGAGAATTTGCAAAAATTCAAAACATTAAAGTTGTATCCCTTTTGAATAGCTTTCCAACGATATATTGTGGAGCCCAAACAGAGTCCTGAGCGAAAAGTTATGTGCATTTTACTAGACAATGCATCGTATGCCAGCTCGATTCTTCGTTTCATTCTTAACTATCATCCGTTGACCCCCGAACATGATCCCGGCTTGATTCCTTGGGCTTTTACTCAGACTTCAAAGCTCCAAATCACTTGAATTCATTCCATAATGCCTACATAGATCGGAATCACTCCTACAAGGTATAAAACACATATTTAGTGCAAAATACTAGCGATTAAAGCTCAAACTCAATTAAAGTACAGTAACTTAGAGTGTAATAAGCGATTAAAATACACAATTATAGCCGATCATCAACACCCCACACTTAAACCATTACTCGTCCTCGAGCAATTAAACTGCACTTTATATAGACACAACCTTTTTAGATAGCTCTCCTAACTCATCATACCAAGAATATTTAAAATAGACTGAGCACAAGAGCGTAACATCTTCACTTCAAGATTTGACTCACAAGTACCATGCATTATTCACAACTCACTCACTTACTCTAACATAGAGGTCAATGACATTACCTTTCCTTCATGAATCAAGTGCCCTCACACAACAAAAGAGAGTAGTTCCACACAATAAAATTTAAGAACATTTAGGAACTCAAGATAGAAAGAATTCACTCACTCTCAGAAATAACATTCATATGCCACAAAAGATGCACCATAAGCTTGCCCATAGTGTACTACTCTACTAATTGAGCTCATTCAGTCTAAGATCAAGTATGACTTTATTTGGCTGCAATGTAGGTTGCGGGACGGGGTAGGATATATTTAGATATATGAGTGACTACACCTCCCTAAGCACTCTAATACATATACTTTACCATTGAAAACCCCACACTTCTGTCAAACCATGACTCCACCTTCACGTCAATATACATCAACTCCCAAATTATTTAAGCACAAGTATATCACTAGCCACCACCATCTAGAATTATTTTTCACAACAATACAACTATTTTTTTTTCTTTTCAATTCATGTGGCTCTTACTTTTTCAAATCAGTGCACATTTCTCCTTATTTTATTTGTTCCACTCAAAAGCCAAACCAACTAACCCACACTTTAACTTATACAAAATTCATAACAATTCAAATGCTTGTGAGAGGTGAAAAGGTTCAAATAGATGGTTAATTCAAACGAATGGGTAAGGCTTGTAATGTGGTTGCCAAAGAAACAGGATTACAGGCTCAAAGGGGTTAACTATGATACATAACAATTAGATGGGTAACATATTTATATGGCTCAACAAAGAAATGCCTATATCACTTCCAAGACTGAACAAAACTACCATTTCGTTTGCAAACACATGGGGCAAGTTCTAGACATCAAAAGTAATGCACGGAATAACACAAAACCTTACACATATATGGCACATAACTCACTCAGGATTGGACTCATCAAGACACTCTAGTCAAAGAAGTTAAGCAACGTCACGATCATAAAATTTAAGGTACTAATATAAGAGTCGAAAACTGAGCCTAAGCGTCACAACTAAAGCACTCACTATTCTCAAGGCATGACAAGGTTAAAAGAGATTGCTTCAATTCAAAACATAGCACAAGACTTCCTATTTCTAAAAAATAAAAAATTAACTATATCCGGTTCAAACAAAACCCTTGGAAAAGAACCACGACACAAAGAAAAACCAAGGGAAAATTGCTACACTACTTACAAAGAAAATCTTTTTCTTCTTTTTCTTTAGACTTAAATCCCTTAAGAAAACTGTCTAGGGGATCCATCTTCGGGAAAAGTCCAATTTTCTATTTATTTTTTTTCTAGCTACTAAAATGCTACGCAATTCTCCCACCCTACACTTAAAAGAGTGCAGTGTCCTCAATGCACAAATAAAGCAAAACAATAACAAGGGTGGACAAGAAACTCCCTGAAAGGCCAAAGGCCGAAGCAATAGCGGCTCACGAGTACTCAGACTTCCCCCAGGCATAGTCCCTCGTGTGGGAACCTCACACTTAGTCCTCAACCTCTAACTCGCTTTTTCCCTCTTCCAATGACTTTGCCTCATATATTTATAATCCTACAAAATAAAAACAAATACTACAACCATAATAAGAACAAAAAAAATAATAATAAAAGGAATCAGTAAAGATGGGTTGCCTCCCAACAAGCGCCTAATTTAATGTCGCGGCACGACACAGAGTCTCGCCTACTCATCAGCGAGTACAACCTTGGTCTTCTCATGATTAATCATTCATCCCCAATAATGCTTGACTCTATGACTATTCACCAAGAATTTCCTCTCACCATTTAAAGCTCGTAGCTCGATTGCACCATAAGGCGTGACTCTCACCACCTCAAACGGACTTGACCATCTCGATTTTAGCTTTCCAGGGAATAGACATAGCCTAGAATTGAATAATAATACCTGTTGGCCTGGCTCAAAGTGACGCGGCTTGATATGCTTGTCATGCCATCTTTTTGTCTTTTCTTTTTATAGCTTAGCATTTTCATAAGAGTGCAGTCTGAACTCATCTAACTCATTCAA